ACTCTTGCTTACCGTTATATTTTTCGAACAAAAAACGCAAAACGGAAACCAGCATCAAACAGCCGGTTCTGCCACCGTATCACAACTAGTTTTGGTCATTTATATTTGTTGTTGTGCATCATGCATTCATGGGACAACTTTGGTCCATTTTGATGATTTAGGACGTTGGTCCAGTGATTTGATTTTAATGATTTAGGATGTTGGTTCAGTGATTTGGTCTCAATCTCATTATGTGGATTTGTAATGTCTATGATTTGCTCTGATTCCAAGTAGGAATCGATCCTATGATTGGGGTCTTTGGAGGGTGATGGCTCAGTGTCCATCAAGAAGAATTGGTACCACATGCACGAGTCTTTGTCCTTGCACTACATATTATGTGGCATTGCATGGTTCTTGAATTGATGATGTTATATTATGTTGTTAAATTTTTATGATTTTTGACATACTTGGAATATAATAATGCTGAGTTTATGTTGTGATACTTTTGGTTTATTCTGCTATGTCTATTACTTATGTCTTATATAATGATTGTGATAAACTCACCCTTTCTTCTTGAATGTGGCCTCTATGTGGGTAACATACAGGTAATCAAGAGTAGTCCCCAAAGGCTTGGAAGAATATCTTTGGAGTGTGATTTATTTCCATTGAGTCTAGAAGGTCTTGATCTGATATGTAACATCGGGGAAGAGAACGCTTTGTTTTGAAAATTATTTTCTTCTTATTTTGTTATGACATTTTAATTTTTTTCATGAAGTTTAAACTATTTTGAATTACGAACCATGAATCACGGGTCACTATGAAGTATTTTTAATGAAACTTGTTTGAACTATAATTTTGCTGCAAGTATGTGAAATATTGATAATGCATATGTCATGAATAATTTTAAAAATCTGTGTTACAGAGTAAGACTAGTACGTATGATTATTTCACAATTTTCACTACGTACGATTTGGGTAATAATGGATAGGTTGACTAAGTCGGCTCATTTCTTGCCGAAAAGAATCAATTATTCTATATAAAAGTTACCTAACATGTATGTTGAAGAGATTGTAAAGTTGCATGGGATACCTTCAAGTATCGCGTTGGATAGAGACCCAAGGTTTACATCAAAATTCTGGACAGGTTTGCAGAATGCTTTCGGTACCAAATTGAAGTCGAGTTCCACATATCATCTGCAGACGAACGGTCAAACAGATAGGACTATCCATTCTTTGGAGGATTTCTTGAGGGCTTGCATGCTATAACAAGGAAGATCTTGGGACAGTCACTTCCATTGATTGTATTTACACACAATAATAGTTTCCATTCAAGTATTGGAATGGCACCGTATAAAGAATTGTATCGTAGGAGGTGTAGAACTCCATTGTGTTGGTATGAGTCGGGAAGAGTGTTGTACTCAGACCTGAGATCGTGCGAGAGACAACTAAGAAGATTAAGATGATCTAATAGAGGATGAAGGCTTCTCATAGTTGTCAGAAAAGCTATCATGATAAGAGGAGGAAGGCCTTGGAGATTCAGAAAGATGATCATTTGTTTTTGAGAGTTACTCCGATAACTGGTGTTGGTAGAGCCTTGAAATCGAGGAAGCTTACGCTGTGTTTCGTTGGTCCATATTACATATCTGAGAAGATAGGTAAGGTAGCCTATCGGGTTACTTTACCTCCGTCACTTGCGAATCTTCATGATGTGTTTCATGTATCTCATTTGAGAAGGTACATTCTTGATCATTCACATGTGATTCAGATGGATGATGTACATGTGAGAGATAACCAGACTGTTGAAGCACTACCATTGAGAATAGAAGGTCCTGAAGTGAATCAATTGTGAGGTAATGATATTGCCTTAGTGAAGGTGTTATAGGGTGGACCAGCCGGTGAAAGTTTTACTTGGGAGCGTGAGGATCAGATGAGAGAGTCGTATCCGACTCTGTTTTCCTCGGGTAGTTTTCAAGGGCGAAAATTTTGTAAGTGGGGAAGAGTTGTAACACCCCAACGTTTAGAAGTTATTTATTTAATAAATTATGAGGATTATTTACGGATAATTGATGTTTTATATGATTATATGTGCGATGTGTTGACATGTGGTTGCTTATGATGTGGAACATGTGAGGTGAATGAAGGGATTAGATGCATAGGAATGATTAGATGATTATTTAGTAATTATTTAGATTATTATTTAGAATAGAATAATAAGAATAATTATTTAAATAGAATTATTTTAGTTAGAGTGGTATGTTGGTAATTAGTAGGAAGAGTGAAGACGTGATGGTAAATAGAGGTTGACTAAGTAAGGGAAATTGAGAAAGATATTAAGGGTTATTTGTGATAACAGAGAAATAGAGAGTTATACGATTCATTATGTGCAATCGAAATATTAGGGAGAAGAGCAAGAGAAGAGGCTAGGGCACAAAGATTGAAGGAGATCACTGTAAGAGATACGAAAAACAGAATCAATCACTCGAAACAATAAGGTAAGGAATTTTTATCTGATTATTATGTTTGATCTAAGTGGTAGATAGATGTAGGATTCACCCTTAGTATTGACAATGGTGATTTGATGTTGTTGGGTTAAGATTTGATGGAATTGTGATGATGGATGACCTGTAATTGTTGTATAATTGATGTAGTATACCAAGTTGTTGGTCTCTGTAATATGTCGTCGGGCGATGGATGGGTTTCGCCAGCCGATGGTTGGCAGAAGTGGAAGGTTGGACTGAAATCTTGAAACTACTATAACTTTAGTTCTAGAGCTTAGAATAAAGTGTCGTTCAAAGCTGTGCGTAGCTAATGTAGTAAAATATAATTAGGTGAAATAAAATGGATACTTAGGAATATTTTTATAATACCTAAGTTATATTAAGAATAGGTTCCCTGTATTGAATTGCAATGACGATTTGTTTAACTATGATGATATGTTGCTATTATGATAATGTGATGATGTTATGACGATGTTTTAATTACATGAGTATATATGATGATTACATGAGTATACAGGATGATGTTTTATGTATGATGTTGATTAATACATGAATGATGATGCATATGACTAGTTTTGGTCATTTATATTTGTTGTTGTGCATCATGCATTCATGGGACAACTTTGGTCCATTTTGATGATTTAGGACGTTGGTCCAGTGATTTGATTTTAATGATTTAGGATGTTGGTTCAGTGATTTGGTCTCAATCTCATTATGTGGATTTGTAATGTCTATGATTTGCTCTGATTCCAAGTAGGAATCGATCCTATGATTGGGGTCTTTGGAGGGTGATGACTCAGTGTCCATCAAGAAGAATTGGTACCACATGTATGAGTCTTTGTTCTTGCACTATATATTATGTGGCATTGTATGGTTCTTGAATTGATGATGTTATATTATGTTGTTGAATTTGTATGATTTTTGGCGTAGTTGGAATATAATAATGTTGAGTTTATGTTGTGATACTTTTGGTTTATTCTGCTATGTCTATTACTTATGTCTTATATAATGATTGTGATAAACTCACCCTTTCTTCTTGAATGTGGCCTCTACGTGGGTAACATGCAGGTAATCAAGAGTAGTCCCTAAAGGCTTGGAAGAATATCTTTGGAGTGTGATTTATTTTCGTTGAGTCTAGAAGGTCTTGATCTGATATGTAACATCGGGGACGAGAACGCTTTGTTTTGAAAACTATTTTCTTCTTATTTTGTTATGACATTTTAATTTTTTTCATGAAGTTTAAATTATGTTGAATTACGAACCATGAATCACGGGTCACTATGAAGTGTTTTTAATGAAACTTGTTTGAACTATAATTCTGCTGCAAGTATGTGAAATATTGATAATGCATATGTCATGAATAATTTTAAAAATCCGTGTTACAGAGTAAGACTAGCACGTACGATTATTTCACGAATAAAATGTGACGCCCTTTTGTTGTATTACTCTGATATTATTTTAAATAATTATGAATATTTTGTTGGGTTTATAAGGGTGTTACACATTGCGGGCAGTTTTATGTGCTTCGGTTGCATCTACAGTTAGTACAGGAACACTGTTTGTACCCACTTCTAAGGTATCTTGGAAGCCAAACAAGGATTGCATCTGTTTTTTCCATCGGATCCAATTTTCGTTGTCAAGCATTGGAAGAAAATTCAGAATGACCTTATCATCAGCCATCTTCGCAGCGGTTGATTCACTTGTCTTGAAAGCTCGATCTCTGATGTGAAGTTCTTGAAAACATAATCAAGAACAATAACCAGAAGCTCTGGATACCAATTTGTTAGTGTGTGAGATACTTTTAGTGATGAGAGAAAGAGAGAATAATAAGAAAAATAAGGATTATATTATTCAGTTGAATTGTAAAAATAATGATACAAACTATGTATATTTATATAGAACCTTAATTGGGTTTGAACTTACCAACTTGAATTATATTTAATATTATATCAAATATATCAATATATCTAACTTGGAATATATTTGATATTATATCTAATATCTCAACAATAACGAATCTTATTGGTCTAAAACATTATTATATAGCACCTTTCTACATTCTTTTCTTCAATATTTTCTCTCCAACTATCTCCTTCACATTTGTGTCTCTATCTCTCTCTAACATTTTCTCTCCCTTCCTCTATTTAACACTTTTTTTCTTAATTCTCTATATGCTATTACACGTGTTTTGGTTGAAAGACAGGGAAGGATGGAAGAAGATGATCCCTTGTAACAAATTCATGGTGCATTAATAAAAAGCAACATGAGTTTGCCAATCGAAAAACAAAAACAAACGTATTCAATCAAATAAGATAAATCTAAAACATCTAATTTTTAAAACTTTACTTCATGTTTGTTAAACGTTAAATTTTACAAATTAAGATAAAACTAACCAATATTATAATTATCAAAGATGAACAATTAAGAGAAGATTATCACATAGAAGAGAAACAACTAAAGAAATAAATTAACAAAAGAGATGAGGAGCCCTTAGAGAGGAACCCTTACACAAAGAAATTTAATGTTAATTTTGTTGCGGTGTATGTTCTTGTTGGAGAGAGAATGCCGATAGAGGAAATGACCTAGCAATCCCGGAGGAATTGGCAAAGGAGATCTTATCAGAAGAAGGATCATCAATGAAGATATCTGTCACAGGAAGCCATATGAACAATTCTTTGGTCTTAACACCTGTAAGTCTTAACATCTGGTGTTCCTCCACGAAGGCAGTGACTTCTGTTTCAAACGAAACGGTGCGACCGATGGCATTGTACCGGTGCACCTTCTTTTCTCTTTGCTTAAGCCACACGAAACCTGTGACACGATTGTAACCCATTTCTATAATGTTGTCTAATGGAAGCAAGCCTCTTGGAAGGGAAATTTCATCCAGGAGAAGCGTTGTTTTTTGCTTGCATATTGCTTCTCCTTTGAATATCTCTGCCTCGTACCTTTGTTGTTCTATTATATGATGTTGTTGGCATGCCATGTTTCTTTGATGTTACTAATTGATTTTTTCGTTTGTATTGAAATTTAGTTTTAGCTTCGATGAGATGAGGATTTTTTTTTGGAAGTTCCTAGATTTAGGGACCATGACACTTTTTTAGGGTTGAATCTTATCACACTATGGATGAAAAAAATAGTTGAAAAATTGTCATGATTTATGTGACTCTACACAATCCTCGTCATTTTCTTAACCATGATGGGAACTTTTGATGAAATTGTTTAATTTAAGCATGTAGGATATGTTGTCTATAATTTATTATTATTTAATGTTCAATAGTTGACAAGACCAATGTATATATAGAGGAAGATATAGCATGGTAAGCTTTAATTTAGATTTTAATAAATTTACTTTTGAATCTTTTTTCTCTATGCATTATGCGTGCCAAATAATGCATTTAGTGGTATCAAATGTCATATGTCAATATGGTATCAAAAAATAAAGAGTTCTCATCATCTTCTAAGAATGCATCCTATTTATTTTTTCTAAGTGTCTCATTTCAACATGTTGGTTCAGATTTTGCTTATGCTCTCTTAGTACCATAAACATAAAACCCATATATATTTTGTGTCACTTCTTCTTTCTTTTTTTCTCTCTTCGTCTTTCTTTCCCTTTACACTCTCTCTTCTATCTCTCAGAAATGAAAATGAAATGATCATTAATTATTCTTCATAAAAATAAAAATCATCGACTCTAACGATCCAAAAATCAGTGTACCACCATTGATTATCACTTTATCATCTTCTTCGAATATCTCCATAATCTATAGAAATCAAAAAAATCCTATATGAAACTACCGAACAAACATGTTTGATCCGTTTTTTATGAATCCAAGTGATACCCAAACCTTTCAATTGTTTCTCCACCGCTAAAAAACTTGAACTACCATTTATGGTCTTGATCGATTATGGTGGCCATGAGATCAAAAAATAAATTACGGTTTCTTGAGGGAACCTAAATTTGGCCATATGAGTCGAATCACCTTTCAATTTCTTTGGATAGTGCGAATCAAGATTTTAGACCTGCACCCCCTACTATGCTCGTCCTGCCCCACTCCATTTTTTGCAGAACGACATTGCTCATTCGCCACCTCTAGTTGGGGTGATTCAGGGTAGTTTATGTATTGTAAAGATTTTACTATAATGTTATTCTCTTGTTGTCATTTGACAACGATTTTTCTCCAGTTTTAGAGTTTCTATACAATGTCCTTGTGTTTTGATTGTGTTCACCTTTTTTCTCTATGCATTTATCTCTCCTAACAACTAGGTCAAATTTGTTGGGGATATCCGTGGAGCGCCAAAGTGTCAATAGGATAAATGTTCATGGACTAAGAGACTTTGACATTACATATCCACCCATTCCACCTAGTTGAGAATGATGGGTACAAGTGTGAGTGGTTAGAGTCTCATATTGCCTATGAATCGGTAGAATGTTAGATTTATAAGAGAGGAAATTGTTAGACGATAGGACATATCTAGAAAGGGGGGTTGAATAGATACCGTGATTTTTAAAATCAGTTTTTTAAGAAAAACTTGAAGCGCAGTGAAAGCTACACGGATACACTCGTCTAAAACGATCCTCTATTGAAAAGACCAGATATGCGAAAAATCGAATGGAATGAATCAATTAGAATTATTAACACTTAACTCAATTATAATTGATCACTTATACTCTTTAACTATTGTCTATTACGTCCAATGAAACGTTGAGAAGAAAATACATAAATTTTCACATTTGAACTTTTATCGAACATTTGGTGTGCTTAATTTCACCAAGACCAATCTACTTTAATTTGTAGTGTTGAAATCAATTATAGCAATCAAAGTGATTACTATAGTATTTAGTAACAGTTCTATTGCACTACAAATCAGGACAATTGGAACCACAAGAGCAAATTTTTAGATTATTGCAAATAAACAATAAAGAGAGAGAGAAAGAAAAACGACACGCGATTTGTTAAGACAGTTCCCCATGTCGTCCTCACGTGGGGTACATCTGCCCCTAATTCTAGAATTTAGAATTAGGATAGTTGCTATTATAATTGCAAAGTTTATACAAGAGATAGAAAATAGTCACTACAATTCAAACCCAATATGTTGAATTGAAAACTAAGCTCCTCTCTTCCCTTGATTCAATTTGAATCAAGTACGACACCAATCTTCGATAAACCTCCAGTTATAGCTACGTTATTGAGAACCCAAACTGTTTCTCAAACCCTCTGCTCGGCTGATTTGATCGCAAGATGATGACCTCAATTCTTCCTTCAAAGTCCTCTGATTGTAGATACCTTGTTGAGCAAACTCACTGTTCCTCAATCTCTTAAGCACGACTGACTTTGATGAAGCAATGAATTTTCAAAAACCCCCAAATCCCAATGATCTTGGAGGAAAAAACCCTCAAATTTTATTCAAGAAAAACCCATAATTACTCAACGTGAACAAGATTGCAATCTTCTACTTCGAACATTGTTAACACATGCTCCGCACCTTGATCGATAAAAAATATTATGTGTAGTTGTCTATGGATGAGTGAGAGGTTGAAGATGATGAGTACCTTATGTATATATTTCACTTTTCTTATTAGAACCAAAGTAAATAACCAAACAATTATATATATGTTATCTAAGGTCAAGACCCAAATTAACAGACTGAAAAATAGTTTTTACGAGCGAGCGGCCGACCTATCTGAGAGGGGACTCAACCTGAGCATTCCCGTAAGGGCCATATGACAGTGTATACAAGCCATGCATTGACCTATGAAAAAGAGGTGACTCGACTTGAGCATTCCCGAAGGTTCCATATGACAGTGTTCACGATTCATGTGTCGACCTATGCAGAAGGATGACTCGACCCGAGCATTCCCGAAGATGCCACATGACAGAGTGCAAGATCCATGCATCGACTGCTCCAGGGGTATGCTTCGATGTATAGTTCCTAAACATTTCTTTCAGGATGAGTCAACCACATAATTGACGTGAGCAAACCTGAGACTTCCCAAAGGAGCAACTTTTAATCATTCATCAACGGGCTTTCTTTGAGTCGACTCATAGAATATAAATTTTTCAAAATACCAATTCTTGAAGACTTTTCATGCTACTTTGTCCACATATCATCTAGCAACATTTCCAACATAGTTTTGACATCATTAAAATCTTGCCCTTACATACTCCCCCTTTTTGATGACGGCAAAACTTATCCTTAGCACCATGTATCTGGAATGTTAATCTTGGAGATTGCTCCCGATATCTATGTGCACCCTTTCGTTTCATATTGGTTTTAATGTCATCCGTTCTTGACTTCCGTATGCTTCTCCCCCTTTGACAACATTAAAAAGAGTTAAACAACATGTTAAAGTAACAATAATCAATATAAGCAAGGTTAGATCATTATCTACTTTGGCAATCAATAACTCTAACAAAAAATCACATAAATAGATGTTAGAGAAGGGCATAGAAAATAAATAGACACCAATCATATAGTATGGTTACAAGCCGGTGTTCAAAGGAAGACAAACACAAAGTAAGTCATAATTAAAAAAATTAAACAACGAATACTAGCTAAAATTCATGAAATTTGCAAAGTACAAAAAAATCAATTTTCATCACTCTCATTTCCTTGTTGGGGTGGAGGATTTGATGGTTGGTTAAAAGGGAAGTGTTGTATGAAATTGTTGGTGAAGTTGTTTGCTTGAGACTCCATCATCCCATACAAAGTATTATATCTTTGATCCTGAATGGTAGAATATATGAAAAATTGTTCACCGTGTACTCTGACACGGTTTGATAGAGTGGCAAGTCTCTCATTCACAAGTGAGGAGTTCTCCTCCTGTTGAAGGCTCATAGGCTCAAGCAGGTTTAGAATGTTAGCAATGTATCCACTTGTCACTTCATCTTCATTCATGGCAGTAACATTTTCACTTTCCTCATTATCTTCATCCTGTTCCTCCTCACTATCATCTTCTTGCTGTAAGCTCACATTATTACTTCTTATCGCATACCTATATCTTTGCTGACTCACATCCTAGTGGTGACCCATCATAGTCAAAGTTTTCTGAGTGAACTCTTGATCGGTTGATATTTTAATAAAGGGAATACCTGGAACCCAAATAGCGGCCTTGTTGAAGACATGTTGAATAAAGGAAGTGTATCCCAATGTTGTTCCTCTACCCGAATCCTTCAGACTATACATTCTACTTGCAATGTAGTGAGGTTAATTTATCCTCATTTTTTTCTTGATAGGATAGATCAAGTGTACCTCCGGATGATCAACTCTTGAATATCCACCCCCCTCTTAGGGCGAATGATGCGAGAAACAATCAATTGCAGAATACGGTGAAGCGTCTTCAACACACCAGTTGTGACCGACTTTGGAAATAAGGTGCTATTTACAACATTTTTAGAGTATGGCTATTTCAGCATAGAGTTCAGAGCAAGCTTGAAGTCATATCCCTCAAAGTTATTGGTATCAGTAGTTTTTATTGCAACCGAACTTGGAGGAAACAATTCAAATACCGTCCAAATTTTAGAGTTAACAGTGTAAACTTTGTTGTTCATCTTGTATTTAAAAGTGCTTCCATCAAAATTACCTTGAAGACCATTATAGAAAATCTTGATCAACTATTCGTTATAAGCAATATCAAACTCTAGAAAGACCCCTAGTTTCGGAAATCTTAACAACTCAATAACATGTGGTAGACCCAACCTACCTAGGATTTGCTTGTACCCTACAAATTGCTTGAATATTTTTCTTTTACTAAAGTTCTTTGAATAAGAGTCAAGCAAATCATTAAAGAGTAGAGATAAATCAGTTACCGAATCAAAATTTTATTGAGATGAGGAACTAACTTTCACCAATCTTCTCTTTGTGGGTCTTGATGAAGCCTTGGAGGAAAGCTTGAGGAGTTTGAGATTTTTGAGTAAAAGAGGCTTTTAGGGTTTTTGCGAAGGATTTGGGCAAAAGGAGTAATGAGAGTGAATGAGTAGAGAT